TTTTTTTTTGTTATTATTTTATTTGGGTAAATTTAAATGGTAACAATGAATAAATAAAACATCAAGGATTTTATTTTTGTGCTTACTTTTGTTCTACACGTTTTACTTTTCAAGATTTCAGTACCTAAATATGCCAGAAATTTCACCATTTCTCGGCCAGGGATATGGCCACCTTAATCGTGGACATTATTATCGGATTGGTCTCTTACAGATATTTTATAGCATGTTTTTTTTATATTATCAAATAAACTGCAGAAACCATTATAATAAATAATTATATAATGAACTTTTTTTATAAAAAAAAGATTGTCAGTTGTGCCCGGCTTGAGCGAATAGTGGCGATTTTTTGAAATACTAAGTCTTGTTTAATAAATAAACCAGTCATTTAAAAAATGTCCAAAATTACGAACATGCATATGTATATAGTTTTAAAAGCATATAAATTTGTATTCTGTTTTATTTTATTTGAGCCTGCAAAATATTAAATAGGTTATGCAGATACTTACGTTATTTATTGAAATTAATAAATAGTAAAAAATAAATAGTAAAATAATGTGTTAGATAAGGAGCCTATCGATAGAGGACTCATATAAGAAAATGGTAGAAAAGTAAACATTTAGAAATTGAAGTGAACTCAGTGAAAATAGATTTAATATCTCATATGTATACAATAAAGCGGCTATAGTACAGAGCATGCCGTGACTGTCTTTTAAATTTAAATGCAACCGCGCCTATTTATGGAACATGCGCAAAACACACAGAGTACGTCTCGCCCCCACTTTTTGGAAACAAGGTCATCCATTGAAACTAGGTAATGATCAGTATAGGAGAGAAGTATGTGGAAAAAATGTTGGGAGTCGAAAACAGATAGAACGTTAACAACTTTTTTAAATGTATGATATAAAGTGATGTTTTGTATTTTTTCAATGTGAGATTTTTTGATTAGACAAAACTAGTTTCATAAAAATAACCCTTGACTTATCGTTCTTGTGCAAGGTTTTATTTCCCTAATTTTTTATATTCATTCACAGCTGGAAAAATATCCAAAAAATAAAGAAAAAAAATACTTCAGACAATAACAATTAAATGATTATTTGTGAAACACAAATAGAACCATTCTGGCATGTTATTAGGCTGAGACACCTTAAAACTTTATCGATATGGTTGGAATTTAAAATAAAGCATGAATTTTATATATTTACCTATATTGTTTTTAAGAATAATGTTAATATAGTAAAAAGCAACAAACAATAGGGCTATACACCAAAATATGACGAGCTTTCATGATATTATATTGTATTTCCTTTTCATAAATTACAATCAAATGAATAAAATTAAATTAAATTAAGTAATATACCAATTCATATTTATAACAATTAAACATAATTTTCAAAAAAATAAATAAATAAACAAATTATTTTTGAATTTATCGCTTAATTATCATAGGGTTAATTATAGAACTCTATGTTGCAAATTAATAAAATATATTTTTTTACACCCAAAAATTCTATCACAATATTTAAAAATGATTTGTGTACTGTGTTCCGAATTAACTAAAGGCCTGCACATACATATGCGGTAAGGTAAGCGGTGGCGTTTGAATGTAACACATAGAAACAAACGGGTCAAAACATACATGTGGCGGTACGAGCGGTATATTTAAATTCGAATAACGCCACCGCTACCGCCACCGCCATCGCTACCGCGTTTGTATTCGCAGGCCTTAAAAGTAGTTAATTCAAATACTGTCAAGTTTGTAGTAAAAGACTTATGTATAATGACCAGTTATTCTATTGTCAAAAGGTATACCTAACTAATTGCACTTAAAAAGCTTCAGGGACATATTGTGTCCAGCAGAATATGTCGTGCGTGAATTAATTAATATAATAATCATTATTATTGTGTGCTGTATGCACATCACAAGTGCTACTACTTATTTAAGAACATTTTGTATGACTAAACTATGCCAAACGATAAGAAAAAATAGATAAAAAGATTACTACTTTTCATTCTCTACCTCCGATTTAGCCTCACTGTCAGACGAGCTGACTTCCACCTCCGAACTATCTTTTCGGGTATCTTTAGGCGAACTCAACTTTTTCTTAGACGTGCTTGGTGTTTTACTTCTTGATTTCTTCTCACGACTCGTCGATCGAGTTCTAGACCTTGAACGTCTAAATCTACTCCGGGAATAACTCTTTGGTGATTTTGTAACCGAGGGTATGCTTCTGGATCGAGATACACTCTTTCCCCTTTTCCTTTGTTTTTTCATGCTCTTGGCGATCACTCTTTTTTGGTGATCCAGTTGCGGAAAAAGATCTGTAATATTGAAATATATTTCTCATTCTCATTGCATTTTTATACAAGTCGAAAATAAGGATATCTACAGTGGGGATATTGAAAACATTGAAATGGTTAGATGCTAATTATTAAAGAGGGATGTCATCCACTACATCGCTATTACTGAGTCAGCCAGAACCCCTTTCGGAATGCGCGAACAGTCGAGGTCAGCCGATGGAGCGCGGTCCGCAGGGTCAGCGAGCACGGAAGTCGAGTCACGGGAGTCACCAGAGTCCCGACATAGCAAATAAATAAGAGTCAACTCTGTCGTTTGAAGGAATAAACCAATTGTTGAAATTATGTGTTTTAATCGGGGGGGTGAACAACCCCCGTGTTTCTAACAAAAGTTGTACCATGAGGTGACCATTGAAATGGCTGTCATCAGACATACTAGGTGTAACTTTAAGTGTATTTAGGGATAATAAATAGTATGTGTTCCTCATAATACTAATCTGATACTGGTGGAGCAAGGAACTCACAAAACTGAGAGGACAGGCAAGTAAACTATTTAATAGAGCAAAGTGGTCATAAGAGTGGGAGCTTACAAAGCAACTCTCACTGAGTACAATGAGGAAATTAGGAGGGTGAAGAGCGATTCTTGGAGGACGTTCTGTGAGGATATCGACGGTGTTCCATAATGTTCTCTCTCTGAGATCAGTAATGTGAAACTCGGGGCTCTTAAGACATAGAGTGGAGAATACACCAGAACTGGAAGGGAGACATTGGAGTAATCCAGGCTATCTAACCATGGAGATGAACATGACTGGGATTATCAGCAAAGGGTAATGACCGGGTCTTGTCAGAACTGGGAGATTGCCAAGAAGGTGGTGAGTCAATCACGTATAAGATGGGCAATAAGTTTTTTTTGACCTATTTAAATCACCAGGAGCTGATGGAATTCTATCTGTACTGTTGCGGCAGGGGCTGGACTGTTTAGATCTGGTTCTAAATCACATCTTCAAAGACAGAATTGCACTAGGCTGGCTGCAGATCAATGAATAAGTTTAACGTCATTCCTCCTTAAAACGTTGGAGAGAATAGTAGATATACAGGGTGTCTCATAATTAGCTGCCAACCACAAACAGGCCGATTCTATGATCAAAACTAAGTAAAAAAGTTCATATGAACATGGGTCCGGAAATGCTTCCTAAGGGCACAGGGACCCATTGAAGAGGGAGGAATGGAAATCATTTTTTTGCAATATCTCTCAATCGCGTTGTGATAAATGAATGAAATTTGGTATACACAGCTAAATTTTGATGAGCAATTTGATGGACTAATCCATTTATTTCCACAAGGTCCATTGGGGTGGGTACGGGGGGGCCCTTGGTACTTTGCGTGTGTAACTTTTTCATCTTTGACTTTTTAACAAATTGGACAGCAAATTCCGTTTTCCCGAACTGTTTTACGTTAAAAAGGTACTCTTGTTTCAAATCGTTATCTTTAACGGTTTCTGAGAAAATCGCTCTTGAATTAATCCCACTTTGGTCAATTTCATAGTAATTTAAACAAAAAAAATTTTTTTGTTTAAATTTAATCTAATTTTAATAAAAAAATAATAATAAAAAATTAAATTAAATAAAAATTAATCCTTTAAATGGAAAAGAGAGGAAAGGAAAATTATTATTATTTTTTTTTGTTTAAATTACTATGAAATTGACCAAAGTGGGATTAATTCAAGAGCGATTTTCTCAGAAACCGTTAAAGATAACGATTTGAAACAAGAGTACCTTTTTAACGTAAAACAGTTCGGGAAAACGGAATTTGCTGTCCAATTTGTTAAAAAGTCAAAGATGAAAAAGTTACACACGCAAAGTACCAAGGGCCCCCCCGTACCCACCCCAATGGACCTTGTGGAAATAAATGGATTAGTCCATCAAATTGCTCATCAAAATTTAGCTGTGTATACCAAATTTCATTCATTTATCACAACGCGATTGAGAGATATTGCAAAAAAATGATTTCCATTCCTCCTTCTTCAATGGGTCCCTGTGCCCTTAGGAAGCATTTCCGGACCCATGTTCATATGAACTTTTTTACTTTATAGTTGGTAAACACCTTCCAAAAAAACATTGCCTTCGTTGAGCGCGAACATCAACGTATAGTATACGCAAGTGACGCAGATCGAAAAATCAGCCTATATTCTGCTTCTCCGAAGCATTGTTTACGGCGGTTGTAATGCAAACGAGGCGGCCAACACGGGAGTAAACTACGGCGTGGGGGAACGAGTGACGTGGATATTGAAGCAGCATTGTCATCGCCCATCGCTTGCCTTTAAACAGTTTAAACGATACGCGTCGCCCAGCGCACGATTATAACGGTTCTTAGTTAATATTCGTTTGGTATAATAATTGTAGAAATGTTTCCTATGTATGGTCCAGTGTGTATTTTATTGGAAACGTAATTTTCCAGATGGAAAATTGAGGACAAAAAGGATTTTTTAAATTGCGAGAGACCTATACCTTATTCTCTCGATATGGAAAAAAGAGGAAGTCAAAAGACAATGTGTATGATCGGAAGTTTCGGAATGAATGGTATTCGGAGTATAAGTGGTTGTGAGGAAGTGTTTATTTAAAAAAACTTTTCTGTATGCCGTGTTTAATTGTGAGTGTAAAGTCGGGCATGTGGAATAAGGAGGGATTTAACAATTTTGGGAACATCACGCCAGGCTGTCGTAACCACAAAGCTTCAAAGCTTCTTTGGAACATACATGTATGGGGTGCGTTAATGTTCACAGAAGTCCACAAACCGAACTAATAGGTCTAGTTTTTTAAAATCTAAATGACAATCCTCCTCACGAACATCAGGTTTTCGATAATATTGCAAATGCAACTACAAATTTCCAGATTAATTTAAAGCCGTTTGACCTTGAAAATTTTCACTTGCAGCCATTTCAATGGGTAACTTTTTTCTAATTTGAGCCACACTGTAACTATTATATCTCCATGACAGACAACCCTATATTGAATATAGTCTATAATATTGTATACTAATTTTAAAATATTTTCTAGGATTCATTTACCTTGTGATATTTCTAGAGCTTTTTTCGCAGCATTCATCTCTGCCTGCTGTATGCTGTGTCCCATAGCACTGGCTAATCTTCTTCCCCGAAAATATACTGCAACTGTGTACACTCTAGTGTTTGTTGGTCCTTTGCACTCAATCACCCTAGATAAGAATAATATAAGGTGTAATAATGATTTAAGATTTATAATAATTTAACTTAAATCAATTGTATACTAAATACAGTAAAACATTAAAATCAAGTTTCACAAAAAACACGTTAGTTTAATAGAAAATAATGGGCGAATTTTCAAAACATGGTTAATTTAGGAATAAGCTTTTAATGTAGACGCTGGAATTATTCAGTGAATTTTCAGATTGTAAACTGAATTTTGACCTAAAAGTTTTGTGAAATTTTCAGATTTTCAGGGATTACTTTAGGATTACCCTTTCCTTGGAATCTTGGAAATGAAATTAATAAATATTAATAGAACAAAATTATATCTAAAACAAAAAACACAGTGGCCAGTATAAAGATTGCACCAAGTAAAGGCAATTACAGAGATTTTTGGTTTAGGAGAAAATTACATTATTTGAATCAGTCAAAACTAGAAAATATAGCAAATCGTCATTGAACAAACAATACCACCTAAGTACAAAAATGTCAACTTTTCAGGAGACCAAAAAAACTGCTTCGTAACTGTGATTAATGAAAACCTGATCTAATTTTAGGTTCTTGGTATCAAAGTAACCAACAAATTATTACTTCAATTGCAAACACTTCAAAAATACGGTATTAGACAATGGAAATTCGCATTATTTAGGTGTTTTGTGGGAAACCTGAATTTTGATAAAAATGTCACTTAAGCGGTATTGTTTCTTCAGTGACAAAATATTATTTCTTTAGTCCAATTATTAAGAACTTCATTATGAAAGTTATGGCTGCATTCACCCGGTCCAAACAGTTAACAATAAGTTTGTGTTTAATCTGTAAACGGTTTATAACTGTTGAAGTGTTCTGGTGAATCGACACGGGGAATAGAAAAAAGTAGAAAAAAAATTTCGAACCTAACACAATTAACCAACTGGAATTTAAGGTACATTCTAAACAATGGATGATATTGTGGCTTTGGCTTTTAATGAAAATATCATCTTAAATATAGCTGAAGCTGCTGTACAGTTAGCTGCGCCACTTATTGAAGAAAATATGATACCTCAAGAGCGTGGTGAGGTAAACAGAAATCTCAATTATTTTGAGGAAGTCATTCCACGTTATACAAACCAACAATTTAGAGAACATTTTAGAATGTCCGGAGATAGTTTTAATGTAAGCAGTTTGTAATCATTACTTGGTATGGCAACAGTTGTAATTTTGTTGAATTTTTAGGTATTATTAAATCATATCAGAAGAGTACACCAAAATCCGAATGAGCATATTCCTTTAAGGAAAAAAGTTTTAGCAACAATATGGCTATTAAGTAAGCATGAAAACTTTTTGGCATGTGGAGATCGTTTTGGGATAGCACAAAGCAGTCTGTTCAAGATATTTAATGAAGTGGTAGATAATCTTTGTCAGCATGAATTTATTGTCTGGCCAAATCAGGAATCTTTACAAGAATCTGTCAATGTATGCTACTATTGTTTTTTTTAGTTGAATGTGGCTATAATCATTCGTGTAAATGTTTAATAGGTATTTCAAGTACGTTCTCCTGGAATCCCTGGAGTCATCGGGGCAATAGATGGGTGCCATATTGCCATTCAACAGCCTGTGGGAAACGCATTTGATTATTATAATAGAAAAGGGTTTCATTCGGTAATTTTGCAAGGTATGATGTATGGTTTAAAATTAATTATACAAAATATAATGTGTATATTTTAGGTGTATGTAATGAACATGCTATATTTATTGATATATCAGTGGGATCACCAGGGAGAATGCATGATGCACGAGTTTTTCGTTTAAGTCCTTTATATGAACGGTTGACCAGAAGAGATAACTTCCTACCACCCTTTTATCACTTGATAGGAGACTCAGCTTATCCCTTGCTCCCATCACTAATGAAACCGTATCAAGACAATGGTCATTTAACTAGAGATCAGCAAATTTATAATATCAAATTATCATCAATTAGATCTATTATTGAGAGAGCATTTGGTCTACTTAAAGGTAAATGGAGACGACTGAAATATTTAGAAGTAAATCAGCCAGAAACTGCGTCAAGAACTATATTAGCATGCTGTGTCTTACACAATTTCTTATTATTGCACAATAATCCAGAAGACGACTATCTACCAGAAGAAAATGAACCACAAAATATAATACCTGCGGTAGCTGACAATCAGGAAGGTTTTAATGCACAAACTGAACAAAAAAGAAGACATATTGTAAATATCTGTACACAAAAATTTAAATAAAACAAAATTGTAGAAATAAACGAGCACTTTATTAAATTTCATTATTCATTACACTAAATAGCCTAGTTATTTATTTGTTTCTAGTCTCCAAATATTGTTTAAGTAAATTATTTCTTTCTGCGTGTTTATTGTTGTGATTCTTCAATTCTTGAACAAGGTTGGTTAAGCTGTCTACTCTTTGACGTTCAATTACCATATATTCCTGTCGTAAACGATAAAGCCCACGACTTTCTCGGTTCTTCTGCCTTTTGGATGAGGTCGGTGTTTATTCTAAGTGGGGTCGTTTCTGACCCGATACTGACATAATCTCTAACGTATCTGGTGTATCTTCAGAACGACTTTCTTCTGCGGGCCCCATTGCAATTTCACTTGCTTCTGTGCAGTGTTGTCTTGCTTCTTCTGGCATCGTGGTCAATATTTTCCCTTGATTGATAGTTCTATCGTTTTCAAATAAAGAATCCATTTCTTCGAAAAACTCCCAGCATATTCTACCTCGACCAGTTCGAGATTTTTTATTATTATCTTTAATATTTTTGTAATGGTGCTTTAAATTTCTAAATTTCATATCTAATAATAACGGTGTCACGTCATAACAGTGTTTGTCAAATACACGCTTTATTTCTCCTCAAAGGCCCTTTTTCTTTATTTTGGGATCCCGAAATCGATCTATCCTCTTACTATACTCAGCAATTAATCATTTAGTGCTATTCGTATTCTAAGTAAACACTTTCTGATCTGTAATAAAAAAAAAACATTATAATACCGTAATTTCTTTTTAATGGTGTGAATAATAATAATTATAGGTTAGATTTAATACATGCCGTCATTTTCCTTGTCTATATCTTTGTCCATTATATTATGGGAGGAAACTTGATCAATTGAGTTGTTTTCCTGTGTTGAGATCTCAATAGCATTTGAATTTTCCTTTAAGTAGCTAATAAATTGCATTTCATCTGAAAGGATTTTTATAAAAAGTAAAAAAAAATTGTTTCTATTCACATTTAAGTCATTTATTTATAATTTTAATGCTCTTTCTCGCTTACCTTCCAGCCTATGGTGTACATCATTTGTTTCTGTAATTTTATATGTAAATCCATTATAAAAATAAGTTATTTTTTCCCTTGAAGTGCCCGCCATTTTTATGACAAAAACGCCTGTTGACAAACGCAAATACCAAAATTTTACGTTTGCAAAAATGGCGACCGTTTACTTAACATGTTTGAAATCAACGTAAGTGTTCACCCAAACAAATATAAATACTTTGCTAATGTTTGCAAATGTTGGGACCGGGTGAATGCAGCCAATATTTACTCCATTATATTGATGATTGGAGTTGTACTCTATAAAAAATTATCTAAATATGCAGCTTAAGTTAAAAATAAGTAGCATCATCAAAAAAAATAAATAAAAAAAATTGACTCTTTTGCAGAAAGTATCAGTCAAAGGTTTTATGAAAATAGTTTTGCTTATCCAAAAACCTCACACTAAAAACAGTAGACAAATAGAAAATATGTAATTCACATCACTATGTATACAGCACACTTCAATATGTCATTGATGTTTCAAAAATACCTATCCGATCTATCAGCAGGTGGTTTGTGGTTAGGCTAAACTATTTTCACAAACAAAACCCTTGACTTACCCTTTTGGTACATGGGTTTATTTCATTAAAAAAGTCCATTGTAATGTTATGAGAATTTATGCCGTTATAGTTCAACCTGGTTTAAAATCATTTAAAATACTCTGCAACATGCTGAAATCATCTGAAAATATCTCTGATGTCTTACCGGCAGCAAAACAGAAAAGACGCTATTAAATTGCAATTTATTCTTGTTACCACTAAGTCTAAAACCTGTTTCAACCAATAATTTTTTAAAAACGTCCAATGTGATTTCTATCTGTCACTTACAGTTTTCAATAAAATACAGAACGAATAATTAACACAATACTTACTTATATACTGGAATATCGGGTTCACCCCCATCCATTGTACGAAGAGTGAGACAACATTGCTGCAATTTTGATTTTGGATCATTCCAGTCTTGGTTCATTATAAAGTCTTGCAGTCTCGGAAATAGAGTTACTTGACAAAATACTTCGCAATATTCCATTCCCTAAAAATATTTATTTTTTATTTTTTTGTATTTCATGAAATATAAATTTTATTCCTACATACCTGATCTACGTACAAGGCACCAATAAATGCTTCGAGCAAATCTGCACGATCCTTAGTTTTTAATTCAGCTTTAGGATTGTTATAAACGGCATATTTTGCCATACCAAGATCATCACAGACTACAGCCTGTGTTCTGTTGTTTACCAAGGAACTTCTTAACAACTAAAAATTACACAATCAGAATCTTTGCAATTATTTGGCCAAGACCAAGAAATATCTTGGCTATGTAAATATTTCAATATCGATGAACGCAGTCTTTTGCTGGGGACAATAAGACTTACTGATAAATGTCCTTCATGATGTTCAGGGAAATATTTATATAAATATTCGGAGGCGATAAGCTGCAAAACTGTGTCTCCTAAAAATTCCAGCCGCTGGTTAGATCCCATGGTTAAATTAGTATAACCCACACTTCTATCGGTGAAGGCTCTAGCCAAAAGTCTGATGTGTTTAAATTCCACATTTATGGACTGTTCGAATTTCACTAGGTTTTGGAGCAACTCAAATTTATCTATCCATTGCCGATCTCCCAAAGGTTCTTGTTCCTGAAGTGGATGCGGTGGAAGATTTACCCATATCTCGTACAATTCCGAATCTTGTTTGTTAAACAAAGTCGCAGAAAATACTTTATCAGCAACCTGAAATCATTTACCAATAATGTGATTTAGCATGTAACCTACCTTTTTAATGATATTGTGGAAAACAATTACTCTGTGATCTATATGCTCGGCCTAGCATTGAATTCCCAATATCTAATAAAGGGCTAAGACCATTCGTCAGCATCATCATCAGACATAAACCAGTTTCGAATTTATTAGTTCTCATCAATATGCCATAGGTAGAATGACAACAATCTATTTCACTGCCTAATGGTACAAAGCATTACCTTGTATGCATTGGCAAAGCGTGACTTACTAATCGGTGGGCGATATGAAAGAATGAGTTGTTTTGCACTTGATGAAACAAACCTTTTAAATAATTATGTTTTGGGAAACAACTTCTGCAAGCTACTGCTTTATCCAGTATTCCACCGTCAGTCTCTAGTAAATATCTAAGATCATTCACCTGCACCTACAGATTAGTAGGTCATTCTTTACCAGTGAGTACAAACTAAGGCATTGAGTAGCAATGGCATTTTAAGATACTCAACACTCACATTCAAAACACTGGTAGATAGACAGCAAATAGCTCAATTATTATCTTACCTCATCTCGGTCGTCTCACCTATGGAATAATGAGAATAAGAACAAAACTGGTCTGCTGATGCTGCTGACAAATGAGTACAACTTGACCATGAGAATCAGTGGTGGGAGTGACAAACACATCAGACTTTAATAGTAGGGCAGGTACTTTCCGTGCAAAGTTATTACTTAGGTCTATTAAATGTAGTTATTTCAAGAAGAAGGTCTTATATTATATATTTAAATATATGAGCAAATGCTACTGCACATCTGAAACTTGTGGACAAGACGAATTTGGTCAAGCTGTTGTCAAGATATGACTGTTGATTATTACTGACTGCCAAAAAAACATGTGCCATACACTCGATCAAGCAAAGCATCAAATTCACTCACACGCACAAATGACAATGAAATGCACGGCCAACATCACTCCTAGGTTTTTCACCGGTAAGCCAGGATGATAGGGCATGAATTAGGGTGCCCATAACATTAAACATACATTACATTTATTAGTCATAATTTTTTTACCTCAATTCCTCCATCCAAAAATAGGGAGCCCATTAATGCCTCAAAACAATTCGCCATTGCATGTCTCAGTTCCAAGTCGTGACACAAATCGGAACCGTGGGCGTAAAGCATGAACTGATCTAATTTTAAAGTACGGGCCAGGACTGCAAGATGCTGGTTCTGAACAATTGCTGCTCTGTATGTTGCTAAGCCACCTTCTTCTAGATCAGGAAATGAATAGAACAGATGAATAGAAGAAAGAAATTCTACTACAGCATCTCCCAGGAATTCCAATCGTTCATTATGAGTTATGTTTGATTCTGTTTCTTGTTGTTTACCAAAACGGGACATGATATTTATTAGCGTGTTAATACCTACAAGAGAAAATAACATCAGTTCTTTTTCCAAAGAGTCTTTTAAATCTTTTGATTGTTGGTAAATATCACTTAACAGTAAGAGCTTTTTTGGAAATTAAAAAAAAAAACGTTTAAAAACAGAAATTTCTTAAAATAACCTGGATTACTATTTCCTAATAGCGTTTTTGTCCGTTTGTAGGAGGCCGTCACATTGTGCCAAAATTCCGTTGGTAAATTCTTATCTAAAAATATCAGTGCAGTTTTTTAAAAAAAATTTCTAATTTTTGTACTTGAAAAAAAATGTTTTGCATATCTTTAAAATAACATTGCAACATATTAAACACTAGTCTGTTGTTTTTTTATTATTGTAAAAATTTTAGTTCAAGTCAAGAGTGTTCCGTTTAAAACTACCTAGCCCAATATGTCCAAATCAAAAAATATAAGTTTGTAAAAAAGTTTGTCTCTTATAAATTACAGTTCTACACACAAATAGCATTCGTTTTCATGGCGGTATAAAATGATATACCAAAACCAATAAATTTTTATGGAGACACTTTGAAACTTGATCTAAATAAAAAACTATTAAATTTAGAGTGACTTATAAAAATATCCCAATTGAATTTAAAAGTTATCATTTTTTTAAACAATAAATATTATAAGTCTAGTATTCTAGAACTTTGTTCATATTAAATTGTGCTAGTTGAAATAGTAATAAAAGTAATCCTCAAAGGATACCTATGCTAAATCTGGTAATTTTATTTACTTCAGTTATTCAACCAATCAGCAACCGCATTATCTTGAGCGAACACGTAACAGTTCATTGTAAAAGAATCATAAATATTGGTGACGCTAAGATTTAGGGATTTTTAGTTGATAGTACCAGCCGTGCAATGTTGGTTGCCTAAGTTCGGCGGTCATGTGATTGCAATCATTTATAAAGGCTCTGTATATACCAATATGAGAAGTAATGTTATTTTTACTGAGATCGAAATTAACTTCACAACACTTTTTACAGAACTTAGATATTTGTTTTAATTTCTGAGATATAAGGCTGAAAAGTACTAAATGTATACACCTTGTATATTGAACAAGTATACTTTTTTTATTTGTTATCTATCAAAAATAGCATATATTGGAAAATAGCGATATTGCATGTTTTGTGACATGTCACTATGATTTTATCACAGGCATCATAACGTTTCTCTTAAAATACCTAGAATTTGCACAGAATAGTGGTAAAAAGTAATCATTTTGTATTTTATTTGTTTATATTTATTTTCTATCTAATTTAATGTGAGAAATCTATATTACTGCGCTTACCCCTCTTCCTGGTGTTCATATAATGTATCCTTCTATCTCCATATTCAGGCTGACGTATTCCGCAATTGGTCAAACTGTTCCTAGCATGATCCGGGTTTGTTCCAAAATTTTCACGATATGACGGATGCGTTAATGCCAGTTGCAACAGTGCACGATTCTTGAATTTATAACTTATGCATTCCTCGAGAACATTGAGGGAGTAATGGAAACGTAAATGACAAACAAGGACAGGAAGTAACATAGCATGCTAAAAATTAAATCTTTAAATATAAAGAAAATTTATCACAAGTTGTTTTTACTTGAATAATATCACACATAATTCCGGTTCTGTAAAAGCCTTCCGATGAAACCGCTACTGTAACATCTCTTTTCATTTTTCCTTGCGTTCTCATTTCCTGCAACTTGTTTTCTTTTGCTTCTAATTTTCTCTTATCTTCAAATGTAGGTTTAGACATATTTGCTAGTAAATGCCTAAATTTAACATAATCCCTCCAAGCTTTTTGGTACCTTAAAATTGATACGTTTACATTAACATCTTTAATTATTTTTATATCGGCTTACTCTGGATTACCGGCGTAGCTTAGTTGAGGTGGACGAATACCAAAATGCACAATTTCTGGAAATTTATAGTCGCCTTCTTTCTGAAAATCAATATTCCGATCCAGTTGATCCACTCTTACCGAGCAAGGCTTTTTCCCAGGATAAGTTACAACCATACCCTTAAATAATAAAATATATTTTCTTTGACATCCGGTCATGACCACTAGTTTTTAGGTGAAAGATTGTTCTGCAGTTCTAGCCAATCCACTTTTAACAATATTTAACTTAGCCTTGTCTACAAGAACTTTTCCAAATTGTTGGAAGCTTGCAAGAGAATGTCCGGTATTGAAAAGTGGAAATAAGTCCGATATATGCAATTATAGACCTATAACAATTATACCAAACGTTGCAATGCAAAGGTCTTGGAGAGGGATGTGTATAATAGTATATTTCCACTTATTAGACATTATATGTCCTAATTTCAACATAGATTTATAAGTCACAGATCAACAGTATCTAATTTAATTACAGTGACTCAGTTTATATCTCAGACATTGGATACACACGATCAAGTTGATGTGATATACACGGACTTCTCAAAGGCCTTTGATCAAATACAACATGAAATTTTACTGAAAAAACTCGAATTATTTGGCTTTGGTTTACCTTTAATAAAGTTTTTTGAAAGTTATTTATATGAAAAATTGCAATACGTAGCATACAATAGTTTTACGTTGTTATGTTTCAACTTCGGGTGTGCCACAAGGGTCAAATCTTGGATCCCTGCTGTTTAATATATTTATAAATGATTTGACTATCTCATTGACTGTAATCGACTTTTATATGCAGACGATTTAAAAATTTATAACTCTATATACACACATGAAGACGTATTGCAAAATGAACTTGTTAAATTAGCTGAATGGTGTAATATTAACAACCTGGCATTAAATACACTGAAGTGTAAACTAGTCACATATACAAGAAAGAAAAACTCAATGCTGTTCACATAAGTTCAATCGACAAGATACGAAACAGTTAAAGATCACATTTGACACCAAGTTGTCTTTTAATCAGCATATATATGACATGGTGAGCATAAGTATAAAAGTGTTAGGATTCATTATTCGCAATTGTAAATCCTTTTCTCACTTGAACGTGTTAAAGATATTATATTTTTCTTTAGTTAGATCGAAATTAGAATATTGTTCACTTGTATTCTTTACATTTTATCAAGCACATTCCAACTATCTGGAGTCAGTTCAGAGAAGATTCTTAAAATTCCTATATTTAAAGATGTATGAAAATATCCTGAAAGAGGAATTAGCCAAGAATTTTTATTGAATATAGCAGATATGGAGTCATTCAAATATCATAGAATTACCTACATATAGTTTATCTTTTTTGTTTAAATTACTACATAATACCATAGTTTGTCCACTGTTACTTTCTCAGATCGATTTTTATGTACCCAGATTGAATTCTCACCACGCCATAACATTAAAATATCCCACCGATTGCACTAACATATTACTTAAATCAATGATATACGTGATGATGTCTAATTTTAATAATATCTCTAACTACTGTGATATAGATGTTTGTAGTTACCCAACTATTGAAATTCCGCAACAGGAATTGCTAAATAGATTTTTAAAATAGGTAAAAAATTTCTTCTTTAATGTTTTTACACAAATTAATTTATAATTTCATAGACGCTTCTGAATTTTCATATCCATAAATTTGATCATGTTATTTTAATGCTTTTTATTTACCAGTCCATGGACGAATCTTTTAAAATTTTTACCTTTGTATTTTATATATGAAATATATCTGTGTAGAATCAGCTTGATATATTTCACTCCAGAATTGGAGATAATGTATTTGATGTGTTTTACTATTTAGTAAGTATTTCATTATTTTTTTTAATTATTTTATTTCATACTGTCCGGTATATTGCTATTTCCCGGATTCATTTGCGGCCGGTAAGTGAGCTATTACAGTATCAGAGCCGGTAAATGTTGCCTAACAATATTATAAAATGACAGATCAAGCGATGTCAAACAAAAATTTCGATAATTTTAAGGAAAAAATAGAAATTTCTGCTCGTTAAAAATAGAAAGACAGTATGAAATAAAATATCATACGATACACGGCCGTTAGGTGTTATTACAGTACTCGTTTTTATTCCGGACTCGGCTCCTACGTCGCCTCGTCCGTAAAACAACTCGTAATGTAATAAGTCACCTACCGGACTTGTAACGTAAAATACTATTACAATAGAACATTCTTCATTTTGAATCGTGATTTTTTAAATTTAACATCCAGGGTAGTCCTATACCCAAAAAGGGTAATACATAAAAAAAATTAATTATAATGAGCGTTCAAATAAAAACGTGGTCGAAGTTGGCTCTGACACATTGGACGTAGGGAGTAGCTTATAGCGACCAACTTAACCTCATTTCTCAACGAGCTGTATAGCAGCTGTCAGTTTCAATAACGTTAATGACTATATAACTTTATTTTAAAGAATAATCGTGATAACAATAACAAACAATTAAAGGAGCTGCGGAAAATGTCCCCCTCCTTGTTATAACAATAAATTAAAGCAGCTGCTGAAAGTGTCCCCCTCCTTGTTCCAAGCACTTTTCACACCTGTTCCTCAAAGAATTAAAGACATTTTCTAAGATGCTCGGGGTATTGTTAATTTCACGAATCTTGTCTATAAGTCGAGCCTGCAGATGGTTTAAATCAGGAATAGGCAGTTCAAAAATAGTGTTTTTAAGGTAAGGCCACAAAAAGAAATCATACGGCGTAATATCACAAGACCTCGGTGGACATTCATGTTCAGCATTGAGACTTATTAGTCGATTTTGGAAAACTTCCCTCAACATATTCATCGTCTCGCCTGCCGTATGTGCCCTTGCGCCATCTTGTTGAAAGTAAAAGTTTGTAATTTCGTTTTCATGCAGCTGGTTAACAAAAGGAGCGATAATTTCTTCTCTATACCTTTGCGCAGTAAGAGTACCATTAAAAAAAATAGGTCCATAAATCCTCCTTCGATTGAGAGCACACCAAACTCCAATTTTTTGAGCGTGTAGAGGGCCCTCGACAAAAAAGTTATCTGGTTTTTCAGAAGACCACATTCTCATATTCTGTGAGTTTATGTAACCACTTAAATGAAACCAGGCTTCATCAGAAAAAATGGTGATATTATGAAGTTCACCGTAGTTGTTTAAAAACCATTCACAAAATACAGCCCATTGCGGAAAATCAACTTCATGAAGTTCTTGCTGACAAGTTAAACGATAGGAGAACAAACGCAAATCTTTTTTTAACACTGTGTGGCAGGTACCGACTGATACTCCCACCATTTGTGATAAAACACGTACAGAAGTTCTTGGCGCATTTTCCATTATTTGTTGGACATTTTCTTTTAATTCTTCAGTCCGCTTTTTAGGTCGGCCGCTTCCTTCTTTTCTTGTTACACTGCCCGTTTCACGAAAAACATTAACACAACGCTGAACTGCACTTTGAAAAATTTTGTACTCAACAACGCCGGGAAATTGATTTTGAAATTCTATGAAACATTCCTCAATAGAATACTTCCATATTCCATCAATCTTGCGTCCATTTCTAAAGTAGGACTCTATGATAAACACTTTTTGTTCTTGAGAAAACACCATTTTAAACGCTTTTTAAAACGAAAATATTCAAATTGATAGCGGCGATATAGCGCTTTGACAGATGACGTTTAAGTTCATTTGCTATACGCTACGCCCTACTTCCAAATTTTCAGAACCATCTTGACCATGTTTTTATTTGAACGCTTGTTACAAACTTTTTCTGAAATTTGACAATATACCCACTTAAAAAGTAGACAATTACGTTTCTTGTGATATTTTAAAAATCCACTGACATATTTCTTATTACTTCCAATAACGTAAAAATTTAACATATTTTATAATTACATACCTTAATTTCATCGGCATAACTTTGCCATTCGTATTGAGTCATTTTAACCATATTTTCAAGTTCAGACTTTTCGATTAATGGTTTTGAACTGTTTAATAAATACTGAAGTACTTCCTCCATGCATAAAATTTCTTTTCCGTTTTCAGGCAATTCCCTTACAAACCTAGGCATGAAATGATACTGGGCACAACCATTTTTATCACTTGCAGCCTTGAAATCCAAATCAACTAATTCCAATATTTCTTTAAATAGAAATTCATCTAAAACGCAACACAAGTAAAGATATACGTTATGGTATAAAAAAAGTGGACTTACTAAATAAATCCAATTCTTGCACGGTAAAGTTCTCAGGAATTTTCTCTTCAATGTACAGAATAGTATATTCGATGTTGAATCGAATAACTTTGCAAGTAGGCAGTTTTTCCAATGGAAAATGTGAAAACATCGAAAAGCCTTCAAAAATAAACTCGTGTTCATCGTACTGAATAATAGTTGGCGTCTTAATAAGGAAATTAGTTGGAGGTGATATAGTTATCCGATAATGATACAATTTATCAGCATTATTACTATATAAATCACATTTTTGCAGTGGAATTTCTCCAGGATATATTCCATGGCGTATGCCCGACTTTCTTGATTTTATTGAACATCTGCATAAAGGTCCATCATTCATTTCACCAGGCTCGTTAAACCTAGAAATATTTTATATCTTGCAGTTTAAAAAAATATTTTAGATGAAATAATAAAGTAACAACCACTAAAGGAATTTTGTGAAACAATATTCTTTTTTTATTTACCACATTTCGGGATGTAATCTATCAGGATGCTGCTGTTTCCTTTGCAGTTCTTCCATAGTGCAGTCTTCTTCGTCAGTTAATTCTTCTTCAGAACTATCAGAGCTACTAGATACTTCAGCTGTTGAAAAGATATTAACAAATTAATTGTTTCATGAAATGTACTTCAATCTTTCTTACTTTTATGTTTGCATAGTCTTGCTCTGTTTTTTCTAGGTGGGGGTTCATATTTTGGTTTCAATGCATTTACCCTAGACGCTCTTAATACCAACGTTTCATAAAATTTTTCTGTTATTTGCATTAATTTAGGAGTAGCTCGGATAATTTTAGGATTATTCTCATCTCTCATATAGTATAGTTCAGCAGGTGTTGTTCTTGTCCAAATACTTTTTTCTTTTTCTAAAATATCTTCTGTTGTCATAGTAGCAAGTTCTTCGAGTTTGTCTGTTATTTGCCTTTCTGTTGAACAGTAGTTCTTTCTCCATTTTGATAATATCTCTTCTCTTTCAGATATTTCTGGTTTTCCTTTTCCCTTAGGACTCCATTTATCTACTTTTGAAATACTGTAGCTGCTACTAGGTTTATTTTTTCTATCTGCGCTTCTATCCCTTTTACGGTCTAAAACAAGGAATATGGTTTACTTAAAGTGGTCCTTTGTTTGAATAATGCATGATGACGACATGTTTCGCTCATGACACTTTTACTCCAAAATTGTTGTGATCAGAACTTGAATAAGCTTAACAGTTTAATTTTTTTTTCTATTCTGAAAATCAGAAAATTTTGAATATGTAATTTTTTTTTAATGAAAATCAAAGTATGTGGTAAAATATACACGGAGTCAGTTAAAGAATGGGTCAAACTTTACCAATAGATTCTACAAGAAAAATCAATAGGGAAGTCATATACAATGTTGCTCATAAACGCTTAGTTTTCGAGATTTTCAGGCGTATCTCAGAAACATGTTAAGGGATTTTTTTCTAATTTGATATGAGGAGTTTTAACGAGAACCTACATCATTTGCTTCAATTTCAAGTCAATACAAAAAACCAGTGGCATGCAAACTATATTTTTGAGATCCTTTTCTAAAAAATAAATGTTACGCCACTGCGTAAAGCGGAAATAAAAAAATATTTTTCAAATTTTCAATTATTTTTCAGCATATACTTATTGAATATCGCTGAGAGGCAACGTTTTTGAAAAAACTGCATTTAAAGTCGGCATGCATGTGCAGTTCGTGGATACATGTAACCTCATTAACTTCCAACGTGTGTTATAGAAACAATTTTTTTATAATTAAATAACATTAACAAACATTAATAAACAAAATAATTTTATTTTTTCAACTTCAACAAGAAAACTAAGCGTTGTGAGCAACATTGTACGACTTTTCCTCTTCAATTTTCATCGTAGAATCTAGTGGTTTGGCCCATTCTTTAACAAAATATAAAAAAAATGCATGGTGTAAAAAATTTGTTATCCCTAACAAGTTTATTATTTTAATGTTATATACAGTGCGTCCCAGAAGTAACACAAATAATTCGTATTTTATTTTGTGTTGCGTTTTCACAAAAAAGCAAAAACATGTCAATTAGTAAATAGGAATTGTCGTTTTGTCACGATGCTTAAATATTTTTCATAAACTGTCATAAACCTATGACGTCATCGACATTTTTTTAAATAGCACTACCTAATTTTTTAAGCATAAATGAATAGCCCTTTTGAAGGGAAATGCGTGGATATAGGATTTGGTCTGCTTTAGTTTGACAGCTGCGAAAAAAAAGCCAACAATTGGAATGGGCATGGTTTAAAATAACAACAAAAGTAGGTATCACAAACTGATGCGAGAACAGTGCCACAGCAAAAAATGGGAACTTGTAGATGTTTTGTGTTTTGGTTGATTGTAGGTACATGTTTTTATGTATTAATGAAGGTGAGTGAAGTTTAGTTTAAACTAAAAATATCTCCAAATACTCGACCTTAACTAAAATTGCAATATAAAACTTAAATCCATTTTTCTCTCAAAGATAATTTCTTTGAAGGCTGTAATTTTTTATGAAGCGAAATATTCTACTAAAGCAATTTGAAGAAGCTGTTCCTAAAGATGATACATTCATTTAAATAAAAAGCTAATATATTTATATTCAATTTACAAAAATCTAAAAAGCAATTATGTGCAAGGGAGAAGCGTAACATTAATCTGATAACAATATCTACTCATGCGATACAGTTTGACAAAATCCTTGGAAAGGAAAACGAAAGGTGCCAAAAAGATAAATTTAAAATTCAAGATGAGTTGCATATTTCATACAATTTCTCCTTCTTTTGAAATAAGAATATGGAAACAAAAAAATATATGCTACTGAAATTGTGTAAGTTTTTAAAGAATATATAGATTGTAGGAAAATATTGCGACGCGCAAAATATCTCTAATTAACTATATAACATTTAAACATGCATGTAAAAGAAATACTAAAATTAATCTAAAAAATTCTAAGCAAAAATAAATATTTATCGCCTTTATATGCAAAAAAAATATTTGTGAAAATGGAAAGGGAGCTGATGATATATGATACAAGATGAATAAAAAGCTGTGAAGCTGTTAATCTCTGTTTTGTCAACCTGTACGAACCTCTGTCTCTCGATTTTTCTCGGCTTCTGTCTCGATAACTTCTCCTATCAGAGTAACTTCTATAATTATCATATCTAGGTCTTTTTGAAACACTGTCCTTACTATTAGACCTTCCAGAAACTGTAGAGACTTTAGGAGAGGACGATCGTGATCTTCTAAAAAAATCTCACTATTATAAGACATTTGGATAACTTAATACATTTTAAATTTAACTTAATTAATCTAGTATTAGATCTACTGATATTTGATAATATAAACATCCTATAAGAAAATAATCTTTCATTTTGTATACAACATATACTTAAGGATGAGTAGACGTAACTTTTTTATTTGTTTATCAATTTTAACAAACTTTTTTTTGTTAGATCTTGCGTAAATGCATGATTTAAAGCCGCAAAAAACTGCAACAATGTTTTTTTTCATTTTGGTAAAAATTTGTAGAAGTATTTGTTGGATATTTTTTGAAGGTAAAAATTCCAACAAATTCTCGCCTTAATAAATATACCAATTTTTTTGTAGTACCGATATATGTTTCAAGTAGACAAGAAAAAATATAGTTTCTTGTAATATAATAAATCTCCATTTTGTATTTTTGATAAATTAGTTTGTTTTGCGTTAATACAATAATTTATGATCAAAATGGAATTCTGCAGTATAATGGGAAAAAATAAAACCGTTACGTTCACACTTCTTAGATATAACTACAATTAAAATAACTCTCAGATTTGCAATATAAGAAATATAATTTGCACCAGGTGATTTACGCTGAGCTGCTGGGTTTTAACTTAAACTAAACGGATATTATATGTGAGTACATAATTTTAATTGTAATAATAATTTAATTGTGGCTCAGGACAAGAAATAACTATCGGGATTTGTTCTTTATTATTTACTTACGTTTTTCCAGAAACTCACTTAGGACTAGTACTTTGATATTCCCAAAATCAAATTTTCACAAAAATAATATCATTTATGTTTTATTTATAAAATATTGATATATGTGAATCGGGTACTACAAAGATTGGTATATTTATAACTTTATTTTATTTATGCTTATATTGTTTATTTACCTACAAAAATTGGTATATTTATGTTTCAAATAACCATAAGAATTCAGTGGTTTTGTGCCATAAATAAATCCTTAAAAGCATTTCTTTAATTTTTACATTAAAAAATGGTCTCTTTTGGTTATGGCTTTGAATTTTAAAGAGAAAGAGCCATGTTTCCAATGTGTTTTAAGATCTAACAAAAATAAAGTTCTTGGAAAATCGGTCAATAAAAAAAAAGTTATTGAGGTGGCTAATACCTAAGTACAACATACTACATAATATATACAAAATATAGTTTGAGAACAAATTTTCATCAATGATTCCTGATTATTTGTCTTACAAAACTAATCATAAATGCATGCCATTAAGATAATAAGTAATAAACAAATAAATTGCAAATATTTTTTGTTAAATAAACCCCAATATATATGTATATTCGAAAACTATAACATATTCAAAATTGTAAATCGTAAGCCTGCTACGATTCTTTTAGATGATAATCTTTGAAAAATTGTATTAGTATTTTTTTTATTCAAATTCTAATAACTTGTCTTGGCATACAGCGAGATAATTTTTCAATTACTAAATACTGATTGTGCAAGAAAAAGTGTAGATTGTTCATGCAAAAATGTCCTTTTTGACATTAATTCAGAAAAAATTAAATGATTAAATGAATAAATAAAAATGTACCAGTGTTAAATTTAAAATATATACTCAGATAAATTGTAGCATACATACACATGGGGTGTTTACAAAATTGGAGAGGATTTTTTTTTGGTAGTAGGTAGAATCCATTAATAATACCTAAGCATTTTCCATAATATCAAAATCGTTTGAAGTGCAAAACAAGTTTTAAAATTAATAATAAATTGTTCAAGCTCATTAAAAAATCTGTGGAATCATATTTGAGTTACTTATTCCACAAACTTTTTTATAGTAAACAAAAAATTGCTAGCTCAATTTTATGTAATCCAGTTCTATGTACTTTTATTTTCATTATGAAAACATGTCTTTTATTGAAAATTACTAGTGAACAAATGTTCAAGTGAAGCATTTATTTTCTAAAATAAATAGGCACTTGCCAATACCCTAAACAAAGAAACAGCACAGTCAGCAGTTCCAAAAAAGTGTTCATTCTACCAATGTCTCAAGTCTGCAGATACTAAATAAAAATATTTTATTTGCTAAAAATATTTCTACCAAGTCGATTCAAGTTTTTGTTTTTAATTTATTTACTATATATACGATATATAAAATCTCTGCAGCTTACAAAGTTACGTTACGACAAAGTAATATCTGTTATTTAACTTTTTTGTTTGAAAGGGGATATTTTAAAATAAATTTTAAAATAAATTCAACTTGTATTTTAATAAATAGTATATTTCAGTCAAGGTTGTAAACATTTAAACATTCATACATTGAATATACATGTAATAAATAGAATGAATCTAAGAATAAATTAGACTAATAGCATCATTCCCATCCAACATTGACATATTATTTAGGTAGGTACATTTATATATGAAATAAATTATTATAATTAAATAAAATTAAAATAATTTTTCCCATTCAACTTCATTATTGAAAACTTCATCTTCTAACCACAAATGATAGTGCTTTTGAAAATTCGTGGAAAGGTCGAAACTATGGCCGAGAACACTGTTGAAATTATTATCTACCGGTTCAAATTCGTTATCAATATTTATTCCATATCTGCGATTGTTAAATTTATCTACCGAATTTCGCAAGGTAATCTCTTCAGCTTGAAAGTCCCATGGTTTTGCATCCAAATAATTACCATACGCCCAGTCATCGTTTAAATGATGTCGCACTTTCTGATAAATAAGACTAACTGTCTTTAAATTAGACTTTCGCCAGTTTCTACCTAAATATTTTGCTTGCATCTTCAGTAACTTTAATACATACAGCTGTGCCATTGCATGCCTAATTTTTAGGGTACGTTTTAGAATTGGTGCTGATTTAAATATAACAAGCATCATAATACGAGAGTTTTTCCATTTACATAATTTATTCAGTACTCTCAGCAGGTTGATACTTGAAAATACATTTCTCCAACAATGGTTAGCATCACTTCCGATTTCAATAGTACCATTTAAATCAGGTTGGAAATCTCCTAGAACACAAGACGGAAAATCTAAAACTGGTATGTTGTTTCCCGCTTTTACATAATTGATAATCTCTTGATTAAAGAATTTTAGAATTAATGGAATGCAGTTGGCAAAAACCAAGTGTTGCGACATGAATTCGAACTGATAAACATGGTTTAATTTGAAATGTTTAAGTAACAGCATTAAAATCGCAGAAACTGCTTTTACTATTATTTCTTTGTGGCGATTTACGTCTATACCCAATTTCATCGATTGAAATACTGTCATCGGTATTTCCTTTGGTAAAACATCTCCCAGTATATTTATAGAATCACTACTAGTCTTTGTTCTAGATGTAGTGGCTAGTAATATTTTTAACAAGCATATCATGTACTGAGGTAAATTAGGGAACAAAGCTTGGTAAAGTATTTCTGTAGGTGTTATTTCTATTTCATCCTTAATTGTTAATGGATTTCTGCTAATATCTTCCTCCCTCTGTATCTGAAGTTCAGTCAGAGAAATATAAGTGTGTTCTTTTAGTATTTGTACGCTATCATGTATAGGTTTCGGCAGACCAAAAAGGGTTGTATAATCTCCTTCTAAGCTGTAACCAATAAATTTTTCTCGGGCTCCATTTAGAAAAATGTCGGTTATTCTTTTGTGAGCCTTGGGTTTCCAGGGTAACTTAGCATTTTTTTCTGTTCCAGGAGAAACGGTTATTTCTTGCCATTTGTTAAATGTTTGATTATTTTGAATATTGCTCTCTTCATTTTCAAACACTTCCATGTCTATAGTTTCATTATCTTCTAAACTACTTTGTTTCACTAAACTTCTTTTACGTCTTTGATTTTGATCTTCAAGCAAATCAGCAGCAAATGCGGGTGGAGACGATGGCCTCAATGTTTTGGCAATTTCAACTGTATCTTCTTCCTGAGGAGGTAAACCAGCCTTATTTCGTTTTTCTTCTTTTAACTGTTTCATTTCTTGTGTACCCCCTAAGGATATTAATATCAATTTCCATAGCAAGAGCAATATTTTTTTTACAGGAAAGTGAGGAGAAGCCCCGCTACAAAATTTTGTTAACATATTAAACAGTTTTAATATTAATAGATCGTCCTCAGAGGTATTCATTAGTTCATTAGAAAAAGAACTATATATTGTAGGATCAGATTCTCTTTCATTGCGGATTGTTTCTGCAATCGTGTACAAAACACATAAAATTATCCTTAAATCTTCAGAATCTACTAATGATATGGATGACTTTTTTGCCATGTTCCTATTTTCTATTTCTAAATTGAGGAGATCAACAAATGCATTAAAAGCGCCCAATTTATATAATAAAACACAACTTTCTCTTGCGCTATCAAATTGCTCTTTATCACTTTGTACTCCAAGCCAACCACCTTGTGCTATATACAAAATGCATCTGGCACTTTTCATCCTAGTTTCTCTATTACTAAATTCAAGTTGATCCAGTATTTTCATGATTATTGAGGTCTTTTCTTGTATAGAGAAATGCCGCCAGGTCATGTATGATATTCGTTGTTTTGCCATTTGCTCCTCAAAAGCAGACAGATTATAATGAAGATCAGAATATTCAGTATAAGAATATAATTCTGCTATTTCATTGGCATATGTATCACTATCTTCATATACAAAGTCGAGATCTTGTGGATTCTGGTTTTCTGGAATTTGATTTTTTCTAGAAGGAAGTATATCTCTGCCTTCTTCGATGGCTCCATTACCATTGGGATCCATGCTAGATACAATAACTGATTTACTATATATAATATACAAATTCATATTAAACTGTTTTGTTTAAAATTATTTTCAAAAGTTTATAGAACTATTGATTTATAATCTTTTTTTAATTTCTCTTTAAGACAGAGAAATATAGTAAAAAAAATACATAGAATAACTGGTAATCTTATGGTAAACATTACTCTTCAGCCTGGAATGTTGGCATTATCTTATTACAAGTAATAATGGTTATAGTTACCTCATTATTTAATTACTGTGTTAACACTATTCTATCTACAGTCTGTACGATATTGTTGAGATAGAATTCCAAGAAAACCCCTTCTTGGGACCGCATTCGACACCCGAGATAGAAAGATATTAGCGGCATGGCATTCACCTTGGCAGCTTGCAGTTACGAAGGTGTGTTTCTTCGTTTTTTTTTCTTGAAATTCTATCTCAACAAATATTGTATGGACTGTAGAGTTGTTGGTTTCATAAAATATAATTATTATGTTGCGGTCTGCTGCAGTTATTTCAAAGTGTGCAGAATATGTACATATAATACAATTCCTGTATACTGTAATGATATGTATATAATATTCCTATTTACCTTACAATATGTGACTGAATTTTGAGAACTCTTAATTAAAAATTACATGCATATTCGTTAGAAATGTCATTCAATTCCATCACAATTGTTTTTGATTGGATCAACTTGTGCAAAAGAAAACGGTTAATTAAATGAATAAATGTAGCTTTATTTCGATTCATTTAATTATATTGTACCCAGCAATATAGGCTTTAACTAATATTGGTGCTAATATAAAACTAAGTAAGTCTGAAATCTGGAAAACATTACATACCTTTCTTTTATTTTATTTTCAGTACAGCTTTCTCCAATTTTAGATTTAATATATTTGTAGTTTTCCAGCTCCTTGGTATAATCGTTTGGCCAATATTGATTTTGGTTAACTGGTTGATGAGAAGGGTAATTATAACAATATCCAAAATTAGATTGAGGGGCAATATTTGGTGGTGGAACGTTATAAGGACCAGCTACTGGTGGAGGATAAGATGGCACAGGAGGGTATGGAACAAATGTTGAAGTATTTTGAGACTGATTCCACTGATTGTACTGGACAGAGGCATTCGTCTGATACTGATTATTATATTCCGATATTCCTGTTGACTGATAATGTGCACTATTATTATAAAACCACTGATGATCTCCCATAATTTAATTAAAGGAAGTTAAGAGATCTTGTTTTTCTCATGTTGTTTGGTTGAAACATGAACCAAACAATACAAGACCAAAATTACTGAAACTGATTTTCTTTTCACTTAGATTAACCACTACTTTAGCGATCTTTTATATTAGCCTTGGACTGAGAACCAATAATTTTTAAGCACAGATCACCTTATGTTTTCAAGCAAAATAGAGTTTTCTTCTCTTATGTATTTTGATTGCAGCCAGAAGCCAAAAGCTGATCACTAGTAGATCACTTTTCCACTTTACCACTTTTGACAGAGTTGTGATTTAGTACAGTATTACAGGAACGCGTCGTATGGTGCGCTGATGATTAAAATTTTAATCGTAGATTTGCTGTTTTCTTTTACTCATGATTTCGGAATCATAACGCATTATGATCCGAAATCTAGCAATCTGATTGGTTTCCATCGGATCGTAACACGTTATGATTCCGAAATCATGAGTAAAAGAAAAGGGCTATTATTATATAGTTGGCCGAGTTCACAGTATACTAATCAGTATACTGTGGCCGAGTTGAACTCCCAAATCTCAAAGCGCTTGATCTACTCCAATCGCTACCATTAACTATTTACCATTACCTAAAAAGTTCTCGGAATTTTCAAACACAAAACTATATTTATAATTGTAGGTATAAATTACTGTGTCTTCTTAAATGCCGGAGTTCCACGTGACCAGTTTTGTTTTGGCGCTCAGCAAATTTGATTTTCTTAAGTTGGTGTTTCGGAAATTATTAAGGTAAAATTACCAACATGAAATGTCGCCCGCGCCATTATTCCATGGCTAGAAATTGGCCTCAATGATTTGGGATCGAGGGGGATTATCCCTCTTTATCCTAACATGAAATGTCAATGGCAATCCAAATGCCTTCGTAATTTTTCGATTTTTTGATGGCAATTGTTTGTATGTACAATAGCACTTAATTTCTACAAATTAATCTTTGTTAAGTTGAAAAAATTGCTCTTTTCAGAAATAAGTAAAAAACTGTGTTTATGTTCGCATTGTATGGTAAATTAATTTACCTAGGTATAATTTATATTTAAATATTGAAAAAAATAATAATAAAACAAACTTTTTGTATTTTACTAACATTACTTTTATTATCTCTGAATGAAAGCGAATTACAAAATAGTATATTTTTTAAAGAACAACCTTCAATCAAAAAATAAATTTTCAATATAAATGGGATAAAAATTCAAAATATGTTAGAGGAGTATGATTACCTATTTTACCTACGACCACTACTGTAAATACTTAAAAGCACACCGTCTGCGATCAATGTAAGATTCCTATTACGTACGGTAAAAAAATGGCGCAGTTTTCCTAGCAACCGCCTAGCAACAGCCAATACAATACTGTTTGTATTTACCGTTGCTAGGCAGTTGCTAGGAAAACTGTGCGATTTTTTTACCAAGCTGTGCGTTTTTTTTACCGTACGACGTAATAGGAATCTTGCATTGATCGCAGACGATGTGTTTTTAAGTATTTAAAGTAGTGGTCGTAGGTAAAGTATAGTACGTAATACGTGGTGTAATGCAATTACGCACTCATAGAATTACGCACTCGCCGCTACGCGGCGTCGTGCGTAACTTTTCCATTCGTGCGTAAAATGCTTTTTACAACACTTATTACGTAATATACTATTATAAGTAAAAATGGAAAAATAATTTTTCTCCTATTTGCAGATTAATGTTCAAAGTTTGTTAATAAATGGAAAATATACTGCACTGCACTGGATTACTTTCTATCTCCAAGAAATTTAGACTCCGTTCCCGTTGTATGTATGTTTGGTTGCCTGATAGTCGCGGACACTCGGGTATTTATGTGAAGGCGTTGTATACATATTATCTATGGTATACATACAAGTACTTACATAAAATGAAAATTATATATATAAGCCCCAAATCTTAATTATACTTATACTTATAATATTCTATTTGTTAATACTAACCTCTCTTTGCAATATTTTGAATATTACATTACAATAGTAAAGCGTGCTATATAGTGTCTCGAAATTGTGTCGGGCCATAAAGTTTGGATGCGTAGTCATCTAAAAAAGTTTCCGGCATCAAAGGATATTAAGGTGGCCGACATTAAGAAATAATAATCTATGTTTCAGTTTTTAATAAATAAAATAAAAAATCATGTAATCCCGTGCAATTCTCTCAATTCAGGCCAGAGTTGCCATATTCGTATGCGAAGATTTTCTTGTACTCTAACTACCTACTTTAGTGAATCGTTAATTGTAGATCGTTGGTAGATTCTAATCGTTAAAAGTAATTTTAATTTTTTTTGGTTCTGTATTCTTTAAAGAAGTAGTGAGTACCCAAACCACATATTACTAACATATGTGCAAACGTGAATATGAGTGAATATTAATATTACAATTAATTTTACTGAACTTTTGTTGTCAATCAATAATTGAATTACATATTTCATCAATAGACCTTTTTAGTAGTGACGTCACATACGCCAAATAATAGGCAACCCCCATAGTGCACATTGTCATAAAGAATTTCTCAATATTTTTACCAACTCGATTTTCGACCTGTTTGGACATAAGTGTCAAAAAATTATCTTCTTTGTCAAGACCTTAAATATCGCGATATTCTGGCAATACTAGAAATATTTATGCCCGTTTGCACCGTTTAGAATTTAAGCCAAGTTCAACTGAACTTGGTTTAATTTTAAAACTAGGTTTTAATAATCAGCTTTTGCACCACTTTCTGCCGATTGTAGATTAAATTAAACTGGGTTTTTGGAATACTGTTTAGGGATTTTATTATGCCGCTAACTTATGTCCAGTTATGTTCGGAAAAGAATATGTCAAAGTCAAATTCTCGAACCAAAATTTTAATATGAGTACCGTCAACGACACCTAACACTCTAGGAAATGATGCAATTTTATAGAACTCATGTTGCACACTAACTATTTCTTCTGGGTTTGGCATTTTTATGTATCTCTGATAAAGCCGAGCTATTGCAATTGATACTCGTACAATTATCCTGGACACTGTTGGTATGTCCATCCCTGAAAAGTCTGCAATAGTAGACAAATGACCAGCACAAGCATAGAACCAATTGTTGGATAGGAGATACACTATTATTTCCCAGAAATACAAAATCATGTTAAGAATAAAAGCTTTTTATAACTCCAAATTTGCCAGTTGCATCGTGTTCATGCCGACGTGTTCATAAAATTTACATATCACTTAGATATTCCAACTCCTCTTCAATTAAAGTTAGGAAATGTAATGTGGTCTCTTTTGTCAACCTAAATCTGCGGAAAAAAAGTCATATTGTCTAGATTATGAAATAGATCATTTCTAATATATATTTGTCTGGGAAATCCAATGTCTATAATTTCGTGAATATCAAAATCATCCAATACATCAAAGTCAGAATCTGAATCTATTTCAAAGTTTTCAATGATGACTTAACACCACTCACTCATACACAGTTCACAGGAAAAGGAAGAAATGCATATTTAAAAAAATTATAACTAGCAGCTAAATACTGTCAATAATGTCAATTTATGTTTTCTCATTAATCCAAGTTTAAGCGGTCAAATTTGAGGGTTCAAATGAATCCTAGATTAATACATAGATTTGAAACGGTGCAAACAAAATGTTATATTTTAATCCAAGTTCAGACTTAATCCCGGATTAAACACTACGGTGCAAACGAGCATTAAGAAGTTCCAATCCCCAAGTGACAAACTAAAAGAATTACCTATAGAATTTATATATGCGAAGTAGCCTAGCAACAGGATATCATTCAAGAAAGATTTGGCTAAGGTGACGAGTAATAATAATAAACCACTTGAAGAAAAAAAAAAGACTCGATAAGCACACTGACACAGCAATTCACCAAGAAAAACAATATTCTTTCCGAAAATGCGCATTAGGCATAATACGGCTAATGTTAAATTTTTACTTTATTTAAATTTAGGAGTCTATTAGGGTGCAAGATTAGCTGTCGGATAATCTCCATCCCAGCCATAGTTCCTGTTGACTTTCTGTTTCTTTAGTTTAATCACTTACGTTTTTAAAGACCTATTACACTAACACTACCTACTTAAATTTTGAGCTGTGCTTAAGTTATGCATTAATTCTTAAAAAAATTCACAGTTGTATTGAATATTGGAGTCAAAAAAATTTTAAGTTTGTAAGAGTACGATTTTATAAACTTTAGAGCGAATAATAATTATTACTATAGATAAATTTCAATGATAACTATAAAATATCTGATCATGTCATATTTGTCACTTATACTTCATTATTTTTGTACAGACGTTAAGATCTCAAAAATTATAAAATGAATGTTTTGTTACAAAGGCATTGCGCAAGATACATCTATGTTGTTCCAGAGGGTTTAAAGGAACTGATGTCTGATATTTCTAGAGAAGTATATGGCAATTTTTTTCTATGTGGCGTTTATAATTTGCTGTTATAATTTAAGGTAATTCGATGCGATCCTGAAAATATTTATACTTTCATTGCCGACTATTTAGATGCACTTTTAATTACCCGTGAAAATGCAAGAGGTAAGGTAAAGTAGCCTTTTTGTTTTAAATGATTTTCAAAGATTTGCTAAATAATAGCCAAATTTCACCACTAGCTTTAACGATGAAAATTAATGAGAATAGTTGAATTAAAAATTAGTCAGTAGAAACAGCTCGTTGAAATTAGATAAAATAAACAACATCCGTAGACATTTTACTAGAAAAATCCATAAAATGCATCATTTTCTTGAAAAACTGGTTTTCATTAAGTGCTATACAATGTAGTATTAATTAGTATTAATATTGATTATAAAATATTACCCATAACCTGATTTTTTTTGTAAAAATTTGTAAAAAAATCAAAAAATACTGGCTATAATAAATCTACAACGTGCGTTGTAGATTACAAGTAAATAGGACTTTTTAAAAATAAGAACAAGTTTTCTGGCAAAACCAATTTATTTTATTCAAAATAGTCCCCTCTTACTCAATAAAGCAATTTGCACTGTCTAAAAGCGTGTTGAATGATGTTTTAGATTATCGGCCGAGTTGTACCTCAGGATGTTAGTACAAGCTTTTTGGATGGCTTCTACGTCCACAACGCTCTTCTTTCATCGACAAATGCATTTTTCCGAAAAGATAAAAGTCCTACGGTGCCAAATTAGGCGAATACGAGGAGTGGTTAACAATTACAATGCACTTTTTAGTAAAAAAAATCGATCACAAATGTCGATCCATGAGATGGCGCATTATCGTACAACAAACGCCAACTTCCTTCTACGCGATATTCTGTCCGAAAACGACGAATATGTGCAATAAATGCTTCAAAACACCAAGATAAAGTAGTGCATTAACGATTTGGTCCGGTGGAATGAACTCTTTGTGGACAATGCCCTTGGAAAAATTGTCTTCACTTTTGGCTAAAGAAAAATTGTCTTCACTTTTGACTTCAATAAAGGAGCGAAACGTGTGTGCACGGTTTGTTCCACACCGTTCACGTTTCGCTGGCCCAAATGTTCGGCCAAAATGCGATAAATTGATGTTTTTAAGATGCCCAACTTCAATTCCATGAATTTCAATGAAGATTTTGGCTGATCTTTGATGAATTCACGCACAGTTTTGAAGGAATCTGCGGTGATCACGGATTTCGGTTGACCAACATGGTGCTCATCATTTATCATCAGAACCGTTTTCAAACTGCGTATACCACTCATGAACTCTGCCACGGGTTAAACAATCATCACCATGAACTTAGTACATCAATTGAAACGTTAAAGTAAAAAATTTTACAAAGTTTAAAACAAAACTTAATACTAGGTAATCCTTTGTTCTATGTTCATTTTTGCACCGATGACAAAAATATACTATAACTTCAAGAGAAATAACTCCACTTCTTTTCATCCAAATGTCATGAAATTTTGATAGAACATCAGTGAAGGATCTAACGTTTCGACAAATGTCAGTTGATGGCCTCACTAGAAGTACCTATTTTTGAAAAGTCCTGCATCTTGTAGTTCTCTCAACCATAAAACATTTGCACACCACTAATAATAGAAGTCCATGAACTTAGAAAGTATTCTTTTATTTCTACACCGTGTATCTTGAAAATGAAATGCCTATCCTAGATAATATACTGTGACTATTGACAAATGTTTATTTGAACTAATTTTAACGCAATTAAACAGATTTAAGAACTATCTTTAAAACATGTTCGAAGGTCTAATGATTTGTGTTACAGTTGCTGCAAGACTAGTCCAGAGTATAACAGACATAGCGACTACAACCGTCGAATTTTTATTAAATACTGGCATGAATAGGCCAGAAGCAGATAATGTTGTTAACATCCTCGAGAAGACATTTAGACAATGTATTCAAACGAGCTACGCAGGTACAGAAGGAACAGAACCAGGTAAAATATTTACAGAGCTTTTATAAGCCACGTGACGCCCAGCGTAGGTAACCAACATCACACGGCTTGTATTGTCAAGAAATCCCTAAATTTTAACTAATATTAATGATTCGTTTGCAATGAACAATGACAAACTGTTTTTTTCGCGGAAAAATTGCACCAATCACCAGTCGGTAATGTAATCTTGATCTTATTGTTTTAATTTCACCGAAATTTAATTGCCAACATGAAGGAAATAAAATTACTGTTCCAAACTAAATTACTAGTCACGTGACTCGTAATGTAATTATTTATTAAGGCTCTGTATGTACCTACATCTTCCTATAATTTTTATACTTCACAGGTATACTAGGTACTAAATATTTATTTAAGAATACATATCCAACAGGATGAAGTCCAAATGACAGAATAAGGTGAAACAAAAAAGCTAAATGTAAAATAAAATTAAAAAAACTAAATATTAAAATATATGAGTACTTCTTGATAAAAAGGAAATCGAAATACAAAACAGAGACGGAAACATAAAATGTGATAAACAAAGTAAACAATACTTACAAGATCTGAGTAATAATGGCTAAACAAACATTTTTTTTAAACGTTATTAACAGAGTGAAAAGTCTATCTTCAAACTTCTGATAATTAGAAAATGTTCTCCAACTAAATATTATGACCATTATATAGGGTTAATCATGCAACTGGTTCATTAGAAGGATACAAAGTTCCCATAATAGGATTTTGTTGAATATTTGAATACCCAGGTTACCGACCATGAACTTTTCAATGAAAATATTTTCAAAACTGTTGCCACCAACTTTGTTATTTTAAATGGAACACCCTGTATATTATTAAATTAGCCAATTTTATACAGGGCTCTGAAAACTAATTGACAAACCTGAGGAAATTCAAACGTGTGTAAGACATTTTTGTTAATGTATATTTTTGCATTTCTGGATTCACTAGTTGCTATAGTTATTCTTGATATGGTTTCTGATGTATCACCACTTTTTTGTTTAAAATGAGAAAAATCATGTTTCGTGTAAGAAACTCATAGTTACAGTCTTTCCGAAGTCAGTTGAACACGTATAAAAACGCTTAGTAATAAAATTGAATGAGTTTCATAGACGTCCCTAAAAAAATTTTCTCCTAAAGTTAAAATATAATAATTTGTATATAATGTGTAGAAAATTTCTATTATATCTTCATTTGGCTAATATATTTTAATTATTTATGTCCTCAAACAATTTTATTATATTGATGGCAAATTTTGGTTATGACATATCACAAAACATTTACATTTTCAATAAAATATATTACTGCTCGGCATTGCTGCACTGCACTGCTAGGCAATTTGTCAACAACTGAAATTTGGTCGCCGAGTGCGGCTGTGTTTGTGCGCCGTTTCCCCGCGCGCGTATTCTTCAACTGGGCGTATACATTTCTACCACCTCCATGTTTAGTTCGACCAGACCTGAATATGGGTATGGCTAAATAAATATGGGAACAAGTTTTTCAAATACCCATTTTTGTGCCGAGTTGCTGCGTAGCGACCGAACCTGGTACATTACTTCCTAGTTCTTTGATCTTCAATTGAGATCGCAAAGACTATATCTATGAAAACAAAAGGCTACGCCCTGTTAAAGCACCAAAAAAAAATCACTGACTTCTACTTTCCTCGACCCAAAAATACAGATTTCCACGTGAACTGTTTCTGAGGTATATACTTTTGAAGCCAACAGTGCTGTATGCATTTTTTTTTAAATCGCATTATCTTGAAAACAACTAAAATATGGAAAAGTTTATACAAAGTGACCCTAAAATTTAACGTAGAATCAAAAATGTAATAATATATGGGGTGTTCCATTTAACGTAACAAAGTTGGTGGCAACTTCCGGTATAAGGGGAAATGCAACAGTTTTGAAAATATTTTCATTGAAGTTCATGGCCGGTAACATGGGTATTCAAATTTTCAACAAAATCCCATTATGGTAACTTTGTATCCTTCTAATGAACCAGTTGTGTGAATAACCCTGTATATGCATGTTTAACTTTGTACCACACAAATATTATTAGGAATATTTTAAAAGTCTCAAGTTCTGAAAATATTTAAACAATAAAATGCGATAAAAGTTCGGTAACGCAGCAATGTCAACAAATTGCATACGACTACTTAAATTATCAATTTAGTTATTTAAATTGAGAGCAGTTTTGCGCCTACCCGTGCACGTAATTTAATATTAATAGATACAGTTTAATGAGAGATTACCAAATCCGAAATGAAATGTTTATCAAATATTTAAAACTGAAATTTGGCGCCAATGTTTGTATTATTTTGGATCGTAACTTATTATTTCAATTCTTAGACACAAGATAAGATATCTCTATTAGAAAAGTAAATTATTAAACAAATTCAGTCAAATTCCATAAAAGTGCATGTATTGTTTTATTTGACTTGTTGCAAATCTACAAATGATTGATGATACAATAAGGATGGCGATATTATTAGTCATGAACATGAACAGTATTTAAAAATGTGAATTTTATAGTTTTTAAATAAAACTAAATTGCTGAATTAAATTATACATTTATTTGTTAATTTTCTACTTACAGATGAAGTCGAAGAGATAAACATTATTTCAGATATCATAAACGAAGCAGATATTCCTCCTGAAATAGGAGAGCAGGCAGCAACAATTATACAGAATGCCTACCGAAAATTCAAAATCAGAAGGGACAAGGTAATGAATAATCTGCTTATCTCCATATCATAATATTTTATTTCTATCAGGAACGTGAACTGTTAAGCGGAATGGTGGATTGGAGAGTTGCTGCTAGAAGTGCGATTCGTCTGTACAGAAAGACTGGAGTTACCTACGAGGAAGCAAACAGGGCCGCCACATTGATAAAGGTAGTGCATTAGTCTACATTGTCCTTCTTTTTATGTTGTTACAACTGTATCAGGTGAATTTTGACTTTTTTTAGTTGTTTTCAGAGTGATTGTTCCCCCATAGTATTGCCAATTTAAAATTTTTCGGGTCGCTGTCTATCAGTTTGGCTGTTTAAAGGCCTAGGTATTGAGTAGCAATGGCCAATCATAGATGTAACATGATTACATCTCACGTATAGACCATAATATCCACAAATACTGGACTATCCTTCACAGTAAAAAATCAAAAACTACTCAGCAAATGTATATTTGAGCGATAATCAATAAGTGTACATTTTTTAGAGTAAATAAAGTGACGCTCTAAAAGATATCTAAGTTTCCAATAAAATAAAAAATAGAAAAAAATCATTCGCGTTTCTAGAGCCTTCTAGTTTAAGGTACAAATTATTATGTTTAGTTATCCTAAAGCCTCCCAAATCAAATTTTATTGAAATATCTTTAAACATCATGGAGCTATTACAAAAATTTAAACATAAACAATTTATTTGAAGTTTGAAGGCCATAAATAAATAAATAATAAATAAAAACCATTTGAGGTCTTATGTGCAAGAGACTAAACATTTTTTAAGGTACACCTTTGAAAAGTATCCATCACAGTACTGAGGGACTATCCACAGTGTCCACTTAAAAAATACATCACCGTCTTTCCTACTATTGCCATTTACATTTAAAGCACGCCTGCCTATTTTCAAACACTTAATACTATTTTATCAATTTTCAAGTCTTTATAATGTCAATGATTCCAGTGACTATTTCTTCTAGTATAACCAATTTTCTAAAATTTCATTAATTTCATTATTAAGCTTGATTATATTTTTCCTTTAATTTAGGCAGCTTATAAAGGATACTACACACGGCGTGTTATGAGAAAGTTAGCTGAGGAAAGTAAACTCTTAGCGGATGCAATCGACGAGGAAGAAATTGAAGAGGAAGAAATTTCTGAACACGAGTACTTATACAGGTATAAGTTCTTTTTACCCCTACCCTAAAACTCTGTTTTATTTAGTCAAAAGATTGTTAAAATCGATTATGGAACTATTATACCACACGTCGATTTCGATGAACCGAAAGTGGCAGAGGTAGGATCAACAGATACATCTGTATCAACACCTGAGGCAGAATCAACTACTAGCACTGTAGTATATTCAGTCGCAGAAGAAATTTTAAATTTGACTTTGCAAGAGATTAAAAAGAGAGGTAATTAATACATTTATATTAATTGGTTGGGGAATAAGTAATGTCGGCTTTTAAAAATCAACGCGCTGCAATTTCCGCTGGTTTGCTCTGTCTATCAACACGTGATCATAATTAACGTTTTCCTCGTCGTATTGTTACTGGCGACGAAAAATGAATGTGTCTGTACGTGAATTTGAAACAGCGTAGAGAATGATCAAGCCCCATAAAACAATCAGCTCCACCAACAAGACCAGAACTTTATCCTCGAAAGACAATGTTATGATGCGTCTGGTGGGATTGGAAAGGGATTCTTTATTGCGAACTCTAACCAAACAATCAAACCGTTAACGCAGAATTCTATGTTCAACAACTACGGCGACTGACTCTACGCGGTCATTCAATAAAAAAGACCTGACCTGATCTTCTTTAGCAAAATGACAATGCGAGACCACATATCGCCAATATGGTTAAAACGGCCATTTGGAGTTGATTTAGCAACTTCTACCCCACCCTTCTTCCTCTCGCGCTTTGTGACTTTCACCTCTTCGGCAATGAGTTAAGAGGACGTGGACGTGGACGTGAAGAGGTCGTGGTTGGACGAGTTTTTCGAGTCAAAATCGGAGGATTTCTCCAGACGAGGCATCAAGAAACTTTTTGAACGTTGGGAGGAGGTCATAAATAACTATGGAGAATACATCACAGATTGATAATTATTGTAGAGTTAAAAACAAAATATCTTAATTTGAAAAAAAAACGGACTTATTCCCCAACCCAACAGAACACAATCCTGAGTCAAAGTTTTTGGATGAATTTTCAATAAAACTTATTTTAGATATCGGTTTTAAAATCCTTCAGAAGATTTATTAATTTTTGATATACCCACATAACTGAAAGTCAACAAAGTTAATAAACGATATTAGAAAATTTTCCAATTTCGTTGTGGCCACTACCTACATAACCTTCCTTCTATTTCGTATGGCATATTGAAGGTACGAACATAAGTGACAAAAACACTATGAATTAATAAGGAATTTCTGGTAACACATTTTTATAATTGGATTATCAATATTATTTTAGGGAATAGTTAAAACTAATATTTCCATACTTCCCTTTAGTATTAACAACTTCCTGTAATTTACAGTACTGAAACAGTTCCTGCTATATATTGCACGAAATAAATTGAATTCAATTTTTTCTTTACATTTATGAAAAATAATTTAAAATATATGATTCCACAGAATATAAATCCCAATCGTGGAATTACAAACAAAAAATACTACTAACTTAACAGAAAAAAAAAAACAATAACGAAATAAAAAATAAAGTTAAAATACTATAAAAATTGATAACAACAAATATACGATAAACTTGCTGATGAGATACGCAGATATTACAAAAATTAACTAAACAAATAACCCCAGTAGCACAAGATATGGGACAAATATTACCGTTATATTGAATCAATGCCCAGGATTTGGAAGATTTAGCCAATATTGGTAAAAGACAGGCATCCAATGTATTCAGTCAATATAATGCCTATAAAGGTCCAATATATACAACCGGTAGATTAATGTCGGTCCCATATCGGATTTATATTGTCAACCAGCATTATGTAAAAAATTTTGTCATTTATAATATTTGGCCAATACCTATGTGAAAAAATTATTTTCATGTTTGTGCTACTGGAGAAATAAATACACATACAGGGTGATTCATTAATAATGGGACAGAGCTTAAGGGCATGTTGCTGACCTTAAAATAGAGCGATTAAGCCAAATATGCCTTATCCGAATGTTGCTCCCTTTCGATCTACAAGGTGTTAAAGTTGAAAAAATATTTTCGATTTTTTTAAATATCTTGAGCATCTTTGAACGGATTGTCTTGAAAGTTTGTACACCTATGTTTTCTGAGGTGGTAATTACGGAAATGGTAACTATTTTGCAATCACATCTAGGATGCGCTAGTTGTAGTGTTCCGTCGGAGTAAACATATGTCAAACTTTTTTGTCCTTCAAAAATCTGAATTTCCAATAAGAAATTATTAAACTACGTTCAATTCTAAATAAAAAAGATATACCTGTTAAAAATCGATAAACTTAACCGTTTTCGAAATAAGAACGATTTACTATTTCTTTACAAAATTATTTGTTTGAACGTACGCCTTTAAATAAGATGACTTAAATGAAGTAGGCCGCTGTCAATGAAATGTCATGTATTATTTATGTCAATTCTAAGCAACTTATAAATACTAGACAGTTTAGTTCTTCTTCGTTTGTGATTTTTTTCATTAAAATGCCGCGTCATAATGATTATTCGTTTGTTGAAATGAGAAACATGGTATGTGTGTATGCCCAAGAAAATTATTGTGGTCGTCATGCAGCAGCGAGGTACTTGGAGTTATATCCAAATAACAGACAACCTAACCACAAGCTTTTCAAGACGTTGTACGACAGATTAGGAGAAACGGGATCATTTCGCCCTAAACGAGACGTTGGAAGGCCTAAAGTATTAGCGGCGGAGCAAGAAGAGGATGTTTTAGTGCGAATTGCCGAAAACACGCAAACAAGCACACGCCGAATTTCATCAACTACTGGTGTAAGTCAGCCTTCCGTCTTCAGAATACTCCACAAATAAAATTTGTATCCTTACCATTTTCGTCCGGTTCAACAGTTGATGCCACAAGATCCTCGTGGTAGATTTAGGTTCGCACAGTTTCTTCGTCGGCAACAAAATTCTGACCCTACGTTTTATAATAAAATATTGTTTACGGACAAAGCTACATTTACCCGGCGCGGTGTATTTAATTGGAGAAATAATCATTTCTGGGAACTGGAAACATTTTCAGCATGAATTCTCAATAAATATTTGGTGTGGAATCGTTCCGATAACATTTTGGGACCATTTGTGTTACCCCGTCCACTTAATGGGGAAAATTATTAAAAATTTTAAACAAATGACTTGCCGCTCGTTCTTGAAAATATCCCCTTAAATTTACGGCAAACCTTTTGGTTTATGCATGATGGTGCTCCCGCACATTACTCCCGACCAGTAAGAGAATATCTTGATATAAGTTTTCGAAACCGTTGGATTGGTAGCGGCAGCGAAGTGCCTTGGCCTGCGCGTAGCCCTGATTTAAATCCCCTAGATTTTTATTTCTGGGGTAACGTTAAATCTTCAGTTTATAAAGATGTTATACATACTCGAGAAGAGCTGTGGGCAAAAATACAAGAATCTGTTAACATTATCAGAGACCAACAAAGAAGTCTATTCAGTGTCAGACAAAATTTTAACGAGAGAATAAAAAAATGTATTGAAAACAATGGTCGCCACTTTGAGAATCTTTTGTAATTAGACTTAAGCATAATAAAATTTTCAGTTGTTACTGTGTTTGTCTTAATTCGTAATTAAGTCATCTTATTTAAAGGCGTACGTTCAAACAAATAATTTTGTAAAGAAATAGTAAATCGTTCTTATTTCGAAAACGGTTAAGTTTATCGATTTTTAACAGGTATATCTTTTTTATTTAGAATTGAACGTAGTTTAATAATTTCTTATTGGAAATTCAGATTTTTGAAGGACAAAAAAGTTTGACATATGTTTACTCCGACGGAACACTACAACTAGCGCATCCTAGATGTGATTGCAAAATAGTTACCATTTCCGTAATTACCACCTCAGAAAACATAGGTGTACAAACTTTCAAGACAATCCGTTCAAAGATGCTCAAGATATTTAAAAAAATCGAAAATATTTTTTCAACTTTAACACCCTGTAGATCGAAAAGGAGCAACATTCGGATAAGGCATATTTGGCTTAATCGCTCTATTTTGAGGTCAGCAACATGCCCATAAGCTCTGTCCCATTATTAATGAATCACCCTGTATATACATACACAAACATATATATAAAACAATAAAAGGCACATACATACTTATTGGGTATTATTGCAATTGGAAGTGCTGCGTTTCAACTCATTTTTAGTTCAAATACATGTCTTTATGTATGTTGCTAACTTGCTAATGTTAAAAATATCCAAATTTGTTCTAACACTGGAGTAATTAAAATATGTTTAAAGCAGTAGAGATGCTTTTACGATATTTGTATGACTAGGCAATTTAAAAGTTGTCGGTGAGCGCGAAGTTAATCTAGACACACAGAAATTTAAAATATGTAATATTTGAGGATAATCAAAGGTATTTTAAATTGTTTTATTAAAAAATATGACTGGAAGCATTGATCTTTTAGACTGATTTAACAAAAAACATACAAAATTGGAGGGTTTTACGACTTTTCTTTATAAAACGGGAATTTTAAAATCTTTCCCTGCACTCTAAATTATTTGCATGTATCGTATACAGGAAGTTCCACACAATAGAGGCATTTTCTAGTGGAGATCTTATGACACAGATCTACAAACTCCTTAGGATTTCTTATAGTAAACCCCAGATTTTTGTAGAAACTTTTTTAAATTATGTTAATGTATTTACCAAAAGAACGTTTATTATCAAATGTAATCCTTAGGTATTTAACAATGTAAATTTTACTGCACAATCAAGTCAGAGGTAAGTAACCACAAATTTTAAAATATCTCGCAAACGGCTCATTTGTTTATATCTCCAGAGTCTTTCACATACTTGGGCATTGTCCACACACATTAATTATCTAAAATTAAAATAAATTGGGAATGATATGTCTAAATATTATCAATACAAAAATACTTATTACCTGATATATTAAAATTGTTGAATAATGTAATCTTTCCAAAAAATATCCTTTTTGTTTTGATATTATTTAGATACATTATTAATTTTAGATAGTTATTAATTTCCAGTTATTTACTAGATATTGTTGGTATAATTCAGTGCTAGTTGGGACATGTAGCCCATAGAGTAGTTGTTTCCTGCAATATCATCAGTTAAGGATCTTGTCTAAGAGGATAAATGTATTCTGCATAACTAGATTTTTTGTATTGAGGAACATTGTTTAACTTCTTTTGATAGGATTTTCAGAAAGAAATGTTTGAATTTATTTGAATTAGCATCTCAACATGTATCCACAAATTTTGACCTGGAATTTTTAAACTTCTCATTAAGTTGACCAACACTGCTATTACTGTATTAGGTATATGTACATTTCGTTATCGAAAGACCATGACGTAGGTACGGCATACGTGAATGATTATTTGATTACCATAAATGCAATGCTTCTTTGTTTTACTTTTAAAAGTTCTCGTGTATTCTACGAACATTTTATCCTCTTTATAGAACTACATCTAAAAATTGTAGAAGAAGGAGAAGAAACTCTCCAAGGTGAGGAAGAAAAGATCTCCGAGGAAAAAAAGGCTTCAGTAAAAGACGGTGAAGAAGAAACTGAAGCGGAACAATCTGAAGAATTACCTCAACCACAGATAAAAAGTGAGGAACTTGCTACAGATAACGAAGGAACTGAAGGCAAAAAGAAAGAAATTGAAACGACGGAAGGAGATCAATCAACAGAACATCCAGCAGTAAGTGAAGCAAAACAAAGCAAAAAAACTCTTCATAAAAAATCTAAAGGGATGGGATTAAGGATGCAGTATCATTCAGGTGAATATTCACAGGGTGATTCACGCAAACTATTGCTTGTAGATAGATTATCCGCGGCAACAGATAAAAAGAAATAAAATAGGATAGGAAGTAAATATCTGTTAATTTTAAATAAAAATGTTT